CCTCCCCGCCCCGCCCCAAGGCAAATGATGTCATTTTAATTCCATAGAGAACTTCAAAATGTTCTATACATACTACACACTACAAACCCCATGTTGTGCGTCCTGCATATATAGATATGATAAAATGGGAAATGGGAGTAAGAGCAGAAATATACAATCATTTACATTTGCAGAGTTCTCCTGATGTTCTCCTAATCTCCTRATGGGTGAATAAAATAAAAAATGAAACATTTGCATCTGGCTACCAGATCTTTYGCTGCCACTCTCCCAAGGAATTCCTCCATCCCACTGCTACCACATAGGTCTTTTCCATGTCAGTTTCTGCCTTTCCCTGCGACGTGCGGTTTCCCCGCTGACAGCATATTCTCTAATGGGTGGCATGCAAAATTTCACTGAGCAGCTCAAACAGAAAATGTCACTGGGAAACAGGATGTAGGGGGTTATTCTGGTGTGTGGATCTACTCAGTGTTTCCCATGTTGAGTTTGAAACTCAGAGGGGACGCTTTCTGTGTTTTTTTTTAAACAACACAGTGAGCTACTCACCCGAAGCATCAAAAAACAACACAAACACAATACAAAAAGTGCACCAGCTTTGAAAAGCATTGAATCCTGAATAGTTGCAGCCTTTTTTGACAAAGTGCTTTAAGCGCATGTTCATAAAATTATTTCTCCCAAAGAAATGCAAATCCTGACTAATGACATGCCTGAATAGGAGAAAAAGCTCCAGCAGCAGTGAATCCAGGCGCCTGGTGTGCCCTATTGTGGCTGCAACAATAYGCCACTCGTAATCTATCAATTTTCACAGGACTTAAGATCAATTTTTCTGATGTTTTAAAAGGTAACATAATAAATAGTGACAATGCAAGGCTGTGAGCCGATCAAGTGTATGCAGTGAATGCAGCATTTGTCTTCCCCCAATCAAACAACTCTAATGTTATGCTAACAAGAAGTGGAAGACTGGATTCATGTTTGACAGTAAAGATGATTTGAGCTTCACATTTATTTGAATASATGAGGAAATCACTCAGACACGTCACTCTRAAAACCCTTTTTCCATCCACTCCACGCTGACGTGTGAAGCTGTAATAGTTAGAAACTCACTCTGTACGGTCCAAAGAGCCTCCTCTTCACCTCTAACCGATACGCTCTTGCTTGTTCTTCATCACTCATGTCTGTCGCTCTTAAACGCAAGATTTCATACACTCTCCTTGCGTGTTTCTGTGAGGAAAAAGAAAAAAAGCGCAACTGACACATATAATATAATAACTTTGACACCTACAACTAATATCCTTCATGTTATTAGACTGGGTAAAAAGGAGAATTGTCAGGTTGTTTTTTTTCCTTTTGGTTGCATTTTCCTCCAAAAAGCAGATTACAGCTCCTCAACMTATTTATCTTTTTCCCTGTATATTTCACACCATGGAGGGTGTGAAACACAGCTGGTATTTAACTGGAAAATTGGAAAACTCATATGTTACTGAGCAGTAAAATTTTTGGTAGACATGCATGTGTAGAAGAATGTTTTATATTTGTAGCTTTTTACACTTCTTGTGTTTCCTCTGACCCATAAACAATTTTTCTGAAATGTGTTGGTTTTGCTGCCTTTCACATTTTATTACCAAATTATWACCCACCTATCAGTCATCTGATGTCTACTTTAACTGCAACTCATCTTTCAACAATAAATTCAGAAATTAAACCAGCTTTTTGTGGGGGGCTTTTTGCACACCTTGTTGATTTTCAGCTTCTCCTGCGCCTCTTTGATCATGTCCGCCGAGAAGCCGAGGGGCAACTTGTCGGCAGCGAAGGGCGGCAGGCTTTGGCAGAGCTTCACCAGAACATAGTCTCTGAGCTTCACGTAGTTCTCTGAGGGGTCTTCAGCTGCAAACAGAAACCGTAAGAAACAGTTAACACAAGTTGACCATGGGTTTGTATATAAGTTACACACTTGATGCAATAGTCCTGTTTTAACAGAGCTGTAAGAATCATAGTTTGACAACGGTCATTGCAATTCAAATCTCTCTGCTCATTTTGTGTATTTGTACATTGCTACACAAATGCACAGATATAACTAAAACTAAAATGTCATTATTGTCGTTTAGTTTAGCCTTCAAGGAGGAATTGTTGACCAATTTAAGAGCCTCTGATAATATGCAATACATTTCATGTGCAATTCATATTATTTTTCAATTTACTATTATTATTTTTATATTTTATAACTTGTCTATTATTGCTTTGTGTTTTACTCGTAACTGCTGACAACTCCTTGAATAAAAGCATTAAAATGCGGAGCTAAGTCCAAAACACACCCACCCTAAACTTAAAATGCTTTTGATAGGCTGTCCCAAGTGAGGCTGCATGAAAATTTGTTTGAGACAAATCAGACCACAAATGAACTATTATTTGCTCAAAGGCTCCTGATGCACAGGTTGTGGTTCATCATGTCTCTTACAAACAAACTGTAATACTGGAAGAAAAAGAGATTTTTTTTTAGCAAATGTCATCTGCCTTTCAAAGAGAGAGCTATATAAAATGAAAACATCCATCCCTAACCAGATGCCAAGCCACCTCTTCCCAGACCCAGAGGGGTCACTCTACTCTTTGTCCGGCTCAAGACCATGGTCTCTGATTTTGAGGCAGATCACGATYTGATGAAGCCAATAGGACCACATCATCTGCAAAAAGCAGAAATGCATTCCCAAGTCCATAAAATTCATGAATAGAATCAGYGACAAAGCGCAACCTTGATGGAGTCCAACTCTCACCAGAAACGAGCCTGACTTACTGCCGGCAATGAGGACCAAGCTATGGCACTGGTTGTACAAGGACCAAACAGTGCTTTGGTCTGGTACCCCATACTCCTTGAGAGACGCAGCTAGTATTGACAACCTTGTGGCCACAGCTAGAAAAACAACAAATGCAAAATCCTCTAAGCAAGACAAAACATTTTTAAAAGGTCTTTCAAATATAGTTTCATCCTTAGGTGTTTTTAAACATTTTCTTTGCAACATCTCAGTGCAAATCGTTTCTTTAGATCCGACAAAATATTCTGGAAGATGAACCATCACTGCAGATTTTAGCCTACTTCACACTTCATCCGAACTGCCTAAATTGGCTCGGATTTTCAGTTTCATGACGAAGATTATGTCACCGTGTTCTCAGCGTCGACTCTGCCACCCCTTTTGTCACACCCTGCCGGAAGAACGTTTTACCCCACCTCCGCATAAGAACTTATTGTGTCAGACGTTTGTGGGAGTGTTGAGTTTGTTCTAAAAGCGCTCGGATGCTGAATTTTACTTCAACCACTGGCTTTAAAAATATTTTAAAAACGACTTGCTTCCAGAAGCCGACTGTTGTTGGCTACCAGGAAGCAGACATTTATAAAAAATAGTCACACGGACAAAACTCATGGGTGGAGACTGGTCGGCTTTGGATGGAGTATGTTGAAGCCTTAACTTATCTGCACCAACAAACTGCAGAGAAAAAAACACGAAACGGTGTCTCGATCTTCAGACTATATCTTAATATCTCAAAAAAGTCCACGCTCACCTGTAATGTCTTGCACTTTGGGCAGGCTGCAGTAAAACCTGTGCACCGCCTCCAGGAGCTGGGCACCATGACCTTCTCCTTGGAACGGAGGCAGAATCAGCATTTGGCTGTTTAGTTAAAGGAAAAAAATCCAACCAAATGAGGGGAAAAAATGTTCAAAACTGTGAAAAACGTTTATCTGATGTGCAAGTAACTGGTTTTTTTTCCTTGGTAAAAAAAAAAAAACCTCCTTGATTGAAAGCAGTAAATAATAGACCGTTACAATGATTCATCAATGCAACAAACCAGATCTCATCAAATGCTTATCTATACAGTTGTTTTCAGATACAAATCACCCTGGTTTGGTACTGAAACAAGATCTGGTTGAATGGTTGGCTATATAAGCCAGTAATTTGGGCTTTTTAGGAAGAGGATAAAGAAATGTATAATTTTCCACTCCTTTTTTAACACAAAAGAAAGGGAAGGCACGTGCTGCCCCAGCAATTACCTTACACGTGGTCGGGTTTTGTCTGGGTATACGTAGTAATTATAAACTGTCATGTAGCCAACAGTTGCGTAGAGAGTCTCCCCGTCTTTATTGTACTTTTCAAATCTGCAGATAAAAGACAAAGGCAAACAGGTCAATTACAGGCACACTCCCATGCAGTGTCCATTTTAGCCTCTCTGTTCTCGTGCCCACCCACCCCCACCACATCAGCATGTTCGAACAGCCAGGCCCTGATTGGTACACCTGCTACAACCTGAATACATTATGCACTTAATTGGAGTACTGCAACTTAGAGGAAGAGAAGGGTTTGGAGGAGGGTTTGAGCTCCTCCAAATCACTTCAGTCCATTTTGCCCATTGTCACTATTAATAGGTGCCAGGGTAAAGAAAACACTGGCAGAGGCTCTTTTTACTGTTAAGACATTGTTCAGTGTTTCAAAAGACAACAGTATTCAATTCAGCTCTTGCCCCTGAAAAATCTGAAAAGGGCTTTTGGCACAAAGGAAGCTCTTGCCTCATCAACAATTCTCCTACAGGGGGAAATATAATCAAACTGGCCTGGTAATTGGTCACAAGCGCCTCAAAGGGGGGCTTTGTTTTTCAATGACACAATAAAGCCTTTAGGGTAAAGCTGCGGAGGGGGGGTTGGTGTCAATTAAGGAGGGCACTCACACAAGAAAGAAGTCCCAACGATCGTCGTCTGTGTCAATGAAACTGGCAGTCTCGATGAACCACATGAGGAAGGTCTGCAGGCGCTCGTGGTACTCTTGGAATCCGGGGCAGGTGATGTCGGCCTGGGGCGAACGAAGCAAAAACCGTTAAAAGGTTTAAATCTCGCCCTGAAATGGACAAACTCAGACAAGTCTTGATGAGATGGTTTGGTGTGAGGGCACCTTGTGAACCTGGTAGGTGAGCTCTCCCGCCTCCTCGTTGTGGATGGTGTAAGAGTGCAACATGGTGCCAAAGGGCTTGAAATTGGCCTCCTTCTCCAGCAGGGAGATAAAGTCGTCCGTGTTGGAGGTGAAACCAGCAGGAATTATCTCCCGAACCTTCCCTTCAACATCATCAGGCTGGATAACACAACAAGATCTGATTTACTATTTTAAACAAACTAATCAGAACAGTGTAAAAAAAAAACACTTACAGGATTAGGAAATTAAAATGTTTCTCTTCTTTGTTTAGTCAAAAGCGCAAAAATTTAACTAGGAGTTCATTTTTGGCACTGCTGAAAAGAAAACCATTAGGCAATTAAAACTGTCAGCTGAGCAGAGACCTCGGTAGCGCTCCCCCCCCCTCCCCCTGACAAGGCCACTTAAATCCGTGCATTTACTACTTATGTTAAACCATGAATATGTGATGAAGTTGCCACAATAAACACATTTCTACTTCTCACTGGGGGAAAAAAATCTTATGAATTGATTTCAGCTTAACAAACCTTTGGGCATCCATAATGGAGGCCTCTCCTCTAATCCTGCCAARTGAACCCAATCAAATGAATTTGGCCCCTGCGATTTCAAAGAGCCTCAGAGACAAAGGGCTTCTACCCCTGGACTTTTTACTCAGTGCAACGTGTGGTTAGTTCAGCTGTAATGTTTGCATTGTATCCATTTCCACAAGGATTGACATGAGAACACTTTGCTAAGAAGCCCTTTCACACCATTTACATGTGTGATGGGCATTATTGGAGCACACAGACCCTTGCTGCTCAGCATTGAAAACTGGGAAATGAAGAAGGTCTGAGCAAAATGCACTACAAAAGGCTAATACAACATACTACTAATTCCCCCCTTTCAGACATCAGCTAATATCTAACTGGAAGTAATGCACCTGCAGCTGAATGCCTCTCCACTATTGTAATTGTTCAGCCACATTTCTGGAGAACAAGGACCACACTTAAAAGGCCATGGACAAACAAGTCGCTTTGTCCCGACCACTCTCTTACATACTAGACGCTAAATTGCACAGCCTTCCAGAATAGATACCTCAGTTTGCCATGAATGTAACTTAACAATGTTCCCTTTGCAGCAGTTTGCTGATGTCTTTGATTTCCAACAATAAGTACAAAGGAAGCACAAACTATCTAATTTGCTACATTAGTTTTATTCCATCTATTTATTCCACTTTGAGATCCACACAGTCTTGAATACTTGTAATTTTAAGTTTAAAACTGCAACTTTTACTCATTCAAAGGGATTATGACTAATGAGAAACATTTTATAAAACTATTTAAATGTCTTCATATGAACAAAACGATGTGGAACTAATTGAGTTTTCTGGAAAACGTCCAGCCGTGTGATTTAAAGGCGAGAAGGTGAGTTTTGGTCAGAGTCCTGTATCAATGCAGCAGCTGCATCAACTCTACCTCGCCGTCCYCTCAGCCCTCGCCAGCTGCACCGCACCGCGACCGTCCACACGCACTCAGAGACAAACGCTCTTCAGATGCAGCCTGAACTTGCAGCTCGCCTCTCTCGCTCTGCCTCCGCGGCAGCTGCGCTCAAACCCTCAACRAGGCGAACTAGCACCCAGGGGTCAACGTTGAACTCTGAGCAGTGGTCCACACTGACATCACATTTTAATTTGAAACACTGGCTTTAAACCACGCTCCACCTAAGTAAGTGCGATGGTGGTCCTCTTTAGGCTGAAAAGGAGAGGTTGGTTGACACATTTAACCCTTTCTTTTCTTAAATTATTACAAATTTAAGCCCACCCACACATAAAAATCACCAATTCCTCATTTATTAGCCATTCTTTTTTTTTGCCTAAATTTATTAGCCTTTCTTTCTTTAACAGTTCAGAATTTTCTTATAGCATCAGACAGTTACATGAACYGAGTATGCTTGACATGGTCCATCATTCATATTTGACACACGAGTTGCAACCAACTCTCAACTCTGTTCCAACAGCGTAAATAGCTACAGATGCATCCATACAACTAGGGTCAATTCTCTAAATTGATTCGATTTCGATTCATTAAGTTCAAAATCGATTAATCACGATTCGATGAAAATGTTTATTGATAGATATCACCATTTTTTTCTCTTCAACATAAACAACAGGTTTTAAGGACAAACTTTTAAATTGAACTGTTTAATCTTGAAAGAAAACTGTCATAAATATACTTCTGCCCACTTCTTTTAAGTGTATGAAAAATTGTGAATGTGTGTTCTGAACTGTAATTTCATTGTGCTCTGTACAATCACAATAAAGGTTTATCTTATCTTATCTTAAAACTGAATGTCTGTAATGTTTGTTAACTTCCATTA